TGTATTTTAGGGAAGGGTCTACAGGGGTTCAGGGTCTCACTACTAGATTAGACTCATAGTGATCCACCTGTTTACAGCCTTCCAAGAGCTGAGATTACAGACATGTGCCATCACACCCAGTCTCAGTTGCCTTCTTAGTGTGCCCTGGGAGTGGGGCTGGCATGGCAGGTGCGGGATCAAACCCCCAACCCTTATGCCTGCTTGCAGGTGCTGATGCTAAAGAATAGAAAGTATATTACTAAGAAACAAAAGAACAAGGGCCAGGGAGATGGCTCAGTGGAATTAGCACTTCCCTCGCAAGCGCAAGGGTATGAGTTCAATCCCCGGTTCCAACCAAAAAAAAAAAAAAAAAGACACTAAAAATAACTGGAAAAAGTAACTTACAAAATGAACTTTTAAATCTTCTCTCACAGTGGAACTCTGTAAACATTCCTTCATATGCCCATAGAAACAAAAGAACAGAAAATCTGCTACCTTAGTTTCTACTAAAAATTTGCACTTGACTTTAAGACTAGAAATAAAGCTATTTGACTTGCATTTTTTATTTTTTTAAATTTTTTTTGTTTTCTTTTTTTTTTTCATTTTTTCATAATTTTATTGAGACATACAATGAGACAGTTTCAAATCAAATTAGTAGAACAGTTTCAATAATTAATACATTGCATATTGTTTTCTTAGTGGTTATTCATTATAATAGATGCAGACACAATATCCTGTTTAAACACTATTAGTACAAATCTCTCTATTCACTGAATTAAGAGATTGTAGCTGTATATCTTAACTATTTTTTTCTTTTTTTCCCCATAATTTTATTGAGAAATAGCAAGTGCAAATAGCAATGAGACAGTTTCACATCAAATTGGTAGGACAGTTTCAATAATTAACACATTGCATACTCTCTTCCTAGTGGTTATTTGCTGTGCAAGATACGGACATGATATCCTATTTATAAACACTATTACAACAAATCCCTCTATTCATTAAGAGAATGTAACTATATATATCTATCCTAACCATTTTGAATATACAGATACAAAATGGACATTCATCTGTAACCCCTTTTTTGTTTAATTCCGTCATTTGAATATTATAGGTGTGTTAACTCAGCAAAATATTCCAGAAGAGTCCAGTAGTCCATAATAGTATTGGGTCTTCTGCTGACTTGCGTCTTTTTAAAAAAAGAATATTTAGTCTTTATAAAAAATATCCAAGACAATGTACAAGATATACAAGATACACAATATACAAGATAGTAACAGTTCCGTTCCTATTTTAGCTATAGAATAGAGCATATGTTAGGGGCCGGGAAGATAGCTCAGTGGAATAAGCACAAGGGCCTAAGTTCAATCCTCATTTCCGCAAAAAAAAATAAAAAAAAAGAACATACGTATATGAGTGTCTTGCTAGTAATTAAAAACATGTTTGTTTGTTTTTCTAGGATGCAGTACGAAATTCAGTATGCCACACAGCAACTGTCATAGCAAACTCTTTCATGCACTGTGGGACTACCAGTGACCAGTTTCTTAGGTAAGTATGCTTGGAAATTTCCACTTTGGTTTAAAATTATCTTTAACAGAAACTGTGAACATTGTTACATGCATATTTCTTCAACCAATCCTGAGTTTAAGATGTACAGCCTAGGAAACTTAGTGACTTAGGGATACCCTGTCTCAAATAACAGAAATGCTGAGGATACAGCTCTAGGGCAAGGCTGTTGGTACAATCCCCAATGCCACAATATATAGATGGATGGATGGATGGATGGGTGGATAATTAAGAAATTTATTTGTAAATAACACTACTAAGTCTTCTTTTCTTCCAGAGATAACTTGGAATGGTTGGCCAGAGCCACTAACTGGGCTAAATTTACTGCTACAGCCAGTTTGGGTGTAATTCATAAGGTAATATGTATTTTTCAATGTGTATGGTATCACAAAAGATGCAGTTTTTCTGGGGTTAAATTAAAAGTTATTATTCACATACAATTACATTTTAAGTCAAGTCAGTCCTTTTACAGGGAAGGATAAAGTAAATAAGGTATTAAAATATGTTTCTTTTTAATAAAAGAGAAATCCTTTTCCTTTGAAGACTGAGCCATTTTACAAAGGATACATTGAAATTTTTTTGGCATAGTATATGAAGAAATTAGGGAAATGTTGTAGAACAGAAAAAATGAAACAACTACTGTTTTCTGGGGTGTTTTTAGCAATCACTGATTTCCAGCCAGGTTGTAACTGGATCTTGAGATGCAAAGCTATGCAGTGGAGCACGTGAGCACCTCCTTCTCCCCCACATTTGAGCAGTGTGGGAGAAGGGCAGGACTTAGAGCAAGTCCTGTGTCTGTTTTCCTCTGCCCTTCTCTTACTGATACCTATTTTGGCTCAAATGCACAGGGTCACGAGAAGGAAGCATTGCAGTTAATGGCAACCTACCTTCCCAAAGACACGTCTCCAGGGTCAGCCTACCAGGAAGGTGGGGGGCTTTATGCACTAGGGCTCATCCATGCCAATCATGGTGGTGACATAATCGATTACCTGCTGAATCAGCTCAAGAATGCCAGCAATGATGTAAGTATTAAAATGAAAAACTACATTTTTATTATTTAAGAGTCTTAAGAAAACATTGTATTTGTCAGATATTTTAGTGAATAGAGATTTTATACGATTTGGGAATACCCTACCCAGTGCTGTTCTCATGGAGATTTTTTTTTGTTGTTTTTAAATGTAGTTTACTTTTTTCAGCTTTTTTGAGCTGAAATTGTGTTTCTTGGTTCTTTAAACTCTATATGTGACAAGAAAAAGTGACAGATATTTACAAAGCATACATTAAGCTGGACATGGTGGTGCATGCCTGTAATCCCAGCATTTAGGAGGCTGAGGCAGGAGGGTTGCTGCAAGTTCGAGGCCAACCTGCACTATATAGTGAGTTCAGAGACAGCCTGAACTGTACAGCAAGACCTTGTCTCAAAAAAACCAAAACCAAAAAAAAGTTCATTGATTCTCATGCTTTAGAACTCTTGAAAAAAAAATTTTGGGGGGGGGGTGCGAAACCAGGGATTGAACTCGGGCCCTTGTGCTTGCCAGGGAAGCACTTATTCCACTGAGCCATCTCCCTGGCCCCTATAAATGATCTTATTTATCCCCGAGTTCACTATGTAGCCAAGACCTGTCTTGAATTTGCAGTTGTCCTCTTGCTACAATCTTGAGTGCTAGGATTACAGATAAGTGCTACCGTACTTGACAATCATTGATGTTTAGAAATGTGTTCTTTTGAAGCTGGGTGTGATAGTGCACTCCTGCAGTTCCACCATTTGTGAAGTTGAGGCAGGAGGCCTGCTGTGATTTTACGGTCAACCTGGGCTACATAGTGAGTTCTTCAGGCCAGCCTAACAGATGAGACCCTGTCTCAAAAAAAAAAAAAATTCTTTTGGAAAAACTTATTAAGCAACTATTATTTTAAGGAACCCTGAAATAAGATTTTAGACTTTGACGGGGTTTTTGATTCTAAAAACAAAAGCTCATGGAAACCCCCTCTGAGTACCTTAAACAAGGAGTTTATTACAACTAACTTGTATAATTAATGGGAAAACTGGTGAACCATTTCTCACAAAGGTTAGGAGCCAGGCAACTCCAGGAATCTATACAAGAGCTTAATGACACCCTTCAAGCCCTACCATCAGCATGAATTTCAGTGTTTAGTCCTTGGATTATTCCACTTGAGAAATGTTGAAATTCTAAATCCTGTTAGCTGGGCTGGGATCAGGAAAGGTGGAAGCTTCCTCAGTGATGGCCATACCAATGCTACCCAGCTCCAAATGCGTATTCCAAAGCAGGGTTGGAATGTTGTCACCAGTAAAAGGATACTACTGTGCATTCCAAAATGACATGACCACTGATGTTTCCTTTTTCAGGGAGGCCCCATTTTCTCCACAGTGTGCTCTATTAGATGCCCTTTTCTCCTCTGCCTTCAGCTCTCCTGTAGTACCTCCTTCCTGGCCCATAAGCATACTCAGGTCTCAACCTGGCCCCCTAAAACTCTTCCCCTTACACTTGTGTGTCCCTGTTACTACCCAGTTCTTCTCCCTTTTTCATGTAAATTTATTGAAGGAAAGTTGTACTATCTTCTCTGTCCACTCGCTTTTCACCCATTTGTTTCTTAACTGTTATTCTACATCAGCAAGCATCATTGTGTTGAAACTTAAGTTGCCAAGGTTACAGTTGGCTTCACAATTATCAGATGTTTCCACCATTGTCATTGAGCCAGCCTTTACATAATGTCAAAATGTATTTTGAAACTGAAGTAGAAGCCTAGGTTGTGAGTACGGCACACCAGATCACCAAAACCAATGCTTTTCCCCTAGATCGTTCGGCATGGAGGCAGCCTGGGCCTTGGTTTGGCTGCCATGGGAACTGCACGCCAGGATGTTTATGATTTGCTAAAAACCAACCTTTACCAGGATGATGCTGTGACAGGTAAGCATTTCTGTTTGAAGACAACTGTAGGATTAATACAAATGGTAGTTTTATTCTACTTTTTGTTCACTTCCTCTTTTTTTTTTTAATTTTTTATTTATTTATTCAGTGTGTGTGTGTGTGTGTGTGTGTGTGTGTGTGTGGCCAGCTCAGCCCACCAGGGGGGCGGGCTGGCTGGCATGTGGTGCTGGGGGATCGAACCGCGGTCCCTGTGCTTTGCTAAGCTTGTTCTAAGTAGGTGCTTTAGACCACTGAGCCATCTCACCAGCCCCTGTTCACTTCCTCTTAAAAATCAAGTACTTGTCTCTATTTCAAAAGTGTATTTTACCCATTTTGTCAGATTTATAAAACCTACATTTTGTAATATGTAGGTTTTCTAAAACAGCATATCCTGTATGTCCTTTCAGAACTTTTTTATTAGCATAAACACATTTATTTACTTACTAGCCAAAGGGATGACCTTGGTTAAGTCAATGCTTTCAAGTAATTGCATGTAAATGCTTGTGATATAGGTAATTATACAGAATAATGAGAAAAGAAATTTAGAGATTTGCTGATTGCACTGAGTTTATTTTCAAAGCTAACTCCAAAGTAATGGTGGAATTCTCGCTCTGCTTTTTCGTAGACCTCTAGGTGCAGGACAGTGTCCACAAATTTACCACTCATTTCCCATCTTGCAATTTTCTTGCTTATTGTGCTTTCCTTCCCATCTCTCCTGAGGCTGAACCATTGCACCCTCTGAAAAGTTTCAGAACTTCTGTATTTTTCTGCCATCATCTGTGGTTTCTTCAGACGTCTCTCTTAGACTACAAGAAAACTTGTTTTCATAGTGCTCCCAGCTTTATAGTGAGGTTGTTGCTGTCACAAGCGAAGATGCAATCTAGTTTGGCTGTTGCACCCATTTTCCTCATAGCTGCTCCTACTTCTAACTCCTTTGTGTAGTCCTCAAAGCCTTTCTGTCTTCCTGCCAGCTGTTGAAAGGTGGCTGTGGTGGGTGTGTGCAGAGGAGAGCTGTTTGGCACAGGGGATGTGCTGTTGTAGAACAGACTGTGGCAAATAAGTTACTAGAGTGATTTGTTCATTTGTTTGTTTGAGAGAGCTCACTATGCAGCTCCAACTGGCCTTGAGCTCACTTTGTAGCCCACGCTGGTCTCAGACGCACAGCAGTCCTGCCTTAACATTCCAAGTGCTGGGATTACAGCTGTGTGCACCACCATGCCTGCCTTGTATCTGGAGGATATTTAGTACTGCATGGTGATAGTGTAGAAAAACTGTTGCTGGGCTGGGGAGATAGTTCAGTGGCAGAGGTGCCTGTCTGGCAAGTGCAAGATCCTGAGTTCAATCCCTGGTACCAAAAAAAGAAAAGAAAAAACTGTTGCCTTTGTGTCTTCTTCGAAACTATTATAGGAGTTGATGTTATGTTTTGTCAAGGTTTAAAAGGAAAGTAGCTATAAATACATGGATGGACTTCCACATAATGTACCATCCTTTTTATAAAATGTTTTAAGAAAAATGACATAGCTTGGCCTGATAGTGTATAGGAGACTCAGGCAGGAAGATCACCTTGAGTTTAAGGTCAGCCTGGGTTATGTAGCACGTTCAAGACCAGACTGCAATATATAACTCCTGTCGCAAAATAGAAAGTTACAGAAGCTACTTACAGTTGTTTGGATGACTGATGCAAATAGATGCTACTTTTTCATACGTGGCCTGCTGAAACAAGCACAGTAAGTGCTACTTTCAGCTGGATATATCTGATTGACTTTGTAAACATAACTCTTATATTTTACTCTGCTCTCTAGGAGAAGCAGCTGGCCTGGCCCTAGGTTTGGTTATGTTGGGCTCTAAAAATGCCCAGGCTAT